CTCTGAAGCGCCAGCCAGCCGGCGCTTCAGAGCAGCCGCAGGAGAGACCTCGCCCGCAGCCGCTCCGACACGCCCGCCCTGAAAATGCCATCCAATTTTTCCCCATAGGAAACATTGCAATGCGATCGCTTTTGTGATCGCAAAAAACGAATCGCTATGCGGATTCGTCGTTAAACGGGGCGCTCGTTATGCGAGGCACCACTGTATTATTTTGAAGACCTTCAGCAGGAGAGCTGAACTCATAAAGCCTTGCATTCTTCCTCCTTGAACTTGCAAATGGCAGCTAGTCTACCTCCTCTTCTGCCCCATCATCTTACGGCACCTTTTGCCTGCAACGATCAAGGACTAAGTTATTTACAGGCTGTGTGCGACTTCTGCCTCAATGCGGCTGAGCTTCTTGTTGACCCTGTAGAATCCTGGCCCGTCTGTATGTGAGTGGACACTGAAGAAACTGAAAGACTGGTGCCCACGGCCCATTTCCTCCTGGACTAGCAAGGAGAATGGCTGGAAAAGTCCCAAATCTTTCCACAGGTCCAGAGGAACTGGGACATTGCCTTGGCAAACCAGAGAAATGACCTCCCCACCTCTTGAGTTCATTCAACCGCAGCATTTATTGTCAGTGTAGGAAGATTTAATTCGAAGCCCCCCCTCCCACGGTGCAGTGCGGAGTGGGGAGCTTCCTTATAACACTGCACTCTACCCTTTTCCCACAGGAGCCATGGGCGAGCGACATTGGCAAAGTCCGTGAGTACATGTGCCTTTACTTACGGGATCTGTTCAGTGATACGACGGAGCCATTCTTCCAGTTGGACGAGGTGGGTGACGTGGGCGGCTGGGCACCCATCCTTCCCCATTCAAGCTGAGCCTCAGGCGTACCTGCTCAGGTGCAGACCCGCCCGCAACTCCTCGGCCCTGTCACCTCCGACACCTTCCACTAGAGTAATACAGCCATTCCAGCACTGTAGAGTCGGAAACGGTCCTGAAAGATTTGATTTTTACTTTATTTTATTCTCCCAATAAGGAGACCGGCACCTTGGCGGCTCACAATATTAAAAAGAATAATATTTAAAACATAAGTCAAACATTTTTTTAAAAAAAGCAATTAAACTCTACGCTAATTAAAATACAGTTGAATAATTGTAAGCAAGTGAACATTAAAAACCATCTGGACTTTAAAAAAGGCATCCAGGGGTTCCCATCGGGATGGTTTGAAGCCGGCCTGAGCTGTTGGGTCTTCCTGGAGTTCAGTCGGCCGGTCCCTTTTCTCTCATCGAAATCCATCAATTGGGCTCCATCCCTTTAGAGCAGCATAAAACGTTCTTGCGCCGTTTCTCATGGGTCACCCCTTCAGATATGGGAAGGTGGCTCTCCTGCCACCTCCTGGGCTCCTTCGCTCCAGGCGTGAGCCACCGCTGACTTGAAAAATGCTTGCTTACGGTGGAGTAATAAGTCCGCCTCATCGGGAGCAGCTGAAGGAACCGTTCTCCCCAAGAGCAGCTGAGTGTCCGGAGTCCCTGGGGGAGCAGGTGCCGGCTCACAGAGGGCTTCTGACCGGTGCTGTCCACCGTGAAGTTCTTCTTTCTTTGAAAGCCAGGTTGCAGCAGAGCAGCTTCGGGAGGAGGGGGGCTTCTAGGCTTGGCCACTCGTTGGGCGGGATGCAAATAGAGAGAAAGACGCTAAGTTCTTCTTTCTTTGAAAGCCAGGTTGCGGCAGAGCAGCTTCGGGAGGAGGGGGGGGGTTCTATGCTTGGCCACTCGTTGGGCAGGATGCAAACAGAGAGAAAGACGCTTGGCACTGCCACGCCGTCCCAGCTGAGCTGGTAGCAAAATAGTTATCGGTTGCCTAGAAGGCCCGCCCGGTGCCATCCTGCGGCCGTACGACCACCTCCACCTCTGGAAATTCAAATCCCCCTCTCCCCCCCACGTCCTAGTTCTCTAACTGGCTTTTCTCCCCCGTAACTCCCCACAGTTTGTGAGCTTTCTGTTCTCCAAAGAAAACATGGCCATGGACTCCAAGTGTGATCGAGTGGTGCCGGAGGAGATGAACTACCCCCTGTCGCATTACTGGATCTCTTCCTCCCATAACACGTAAGCTTTTTTTTCCCCCTGGGCCTTCGGGGGCTGCGGACGGTGGAAGAGGGGGCCCCTCGAGGCCCGCTGAGCCCCCGTTGCAAGCCAAAGGCCTTTTTGACCCCTAAGCCAAGACCTCTTCAGCTCCCTATAGCGACCCACGTGGGACTGTGGCGTAGAGTGGAGCGATCTTCTCAAATCTCGGGCGATGCGTAGTTGATGGGGTGCCAGCGACGGGTTTGTTAAGAGGTTTCATTCTGTTTTCAAGCCCAGGTCAATCCGGGTTACTGTAGAAGTGAGGTTGCTTGACTGCAGCTGTGCCTCTCTGGACACCGTCTTTGACACACTTTGGACGTGTGGCTTTTTCGTCATCCGCCTAGCCGGAAGCCCTCCTCCACCCCCACCCCACCCCCATTTCCAACCCTGGTCTTTCCTCTTCCTCTTCAGGTACCTCACGGGAGACCAGTTCTCCAGCGAATCCTCCCTGGAAGCCTACGCCCGCTGTCTCCGGATGGGTTGCCGCTGCATAGAACGTGAGTCGGGACTTTTGGGGTGAGGAGTTCCACCCGTCCGTCTGAGCTGCGGGATCATGAATGTCCCCCCCAACCCAAAGGCATTTTGAAACCCACTCTTTGAGGTCCTGCGTAACGTTCTCTTTTTGTCACTCTGGAGTCACTCTGGGCATCCTTTGAGCCGCTGCTCAGGCCGGACGTAAACCCAAATGAGGTCCATCATTGTTCCAAAGTAGGCAGTCAACATGATAGGATGTGGGGACTTAGGGGAAGGGGCCTTCAGCTGCGTCAGACCCTCTGGGCCAGTGTTGGCAACTGTGGCTAGTGGAGGGTGGGGGCACAATGATTTCTGCCCTCCGTCGGCAGATCATTGGTGTTTCCTGGTTGGGGGGGGGTTGTGTCTCTCAGTTTGAAGGCAAACCTGGTCTGATTCCTCCCCGCTTCCCAAATCAGGTCTCTGGTGTGGGAGTTCTCGGCTTTTAGGTTCTGTGTAGAAGTGTGACATGCAGAAAGGATTCTCTCCACCATCTTTGGGGATCTTTCTCCCCTCTCTCCATCCTGCCGTGCTGGAGAAAAAATGAAAATACCTCTCTTAAGGGGGGGGCCTTACCATCGGCAGTTTCTATTGTGTTGAAGTATCTTGGGGTGGGCGAGAATCTTCTCTTTGTCCAATCACAATCCCCCCCTTTGAATTTCAAAACAAACTAGTCCGCCAGTTGAAGCTTCACTTTCCCCTTCGTCCCCTGAAATCTGTTCATCGTTAATCCTTCTTCTCCCCACCCCCCAGTGGATTGTTGGGATGGGCCAGACGACCTGCCGATCATCTACCACGGCCACACGCTCACCTCCAAAATCAAGTTCTTGGATGTGCTGCACACCATCAAAGAGCATGCCTTCACCACCTCTGAGTAAGTGATGCCGTCCCAGCCGGTCCTTATGTTTCTCTCTCTCTCTCTCTCTCTCTCTCCCTTTCTCTCTCAGTCTCTCCTGAGTGGGTGGATTGTTTGGTGCCTCGTCTCAGGAACGGTGCGAACCTGCCTGTACAACATTGTTTATAGGGACCTTCACGAACACGTTGCTGTGTAGGGTGTGGAGCATGTGATGAAACACAGCAGGGTGTTCTCTGTGGCTCTGGAGGAGCATCCAGGCAGACTCTTCCTGTGCTTCACTGTGTTCCTGCTGCATCGAAGCAGAAGTGCAGGAAACCAGCAAAAAAGGGTGGCTCCAGAATAGGGCTAACTTTTGCCTCTGTCCCAGGTCAGTGAAGCTGAGAGCCACGCCATCTGGAGGCCAGACTCCCATTAGGAGCCTGGGCTCTAAGCTGGAAGGGTCACAGCTGAGACACCAGACGGAGAGGCATCGGCCCTGCTTCATCTACTTGGCAGCAGACTCCCATTAGGAGCCTGGGCTCTAAGGTGGAAGGGTCACAGCTGAAACACCAGACGGAGAAGCATCGGCCCTGCTTCAAGGGCAGCTGAAGGGGATCCTGGTCGTGGAGGCAGTGGCGGTGGCACTCCAGCTGAATTTTGTTAGGACTGCGCAGAAGGTGGCCATGGTAAACCCCTGCTGAACTTTCCTTACATTGAAAACACTATGATGAGAGAGCCCAAAAATGAAACACAAGAATCCCAGGTCGAAAAGCACTCCGTCAGCTACAGGAGAAGAGCAAAGGACAAATACGAATAGCTATGTCACTAATGACACAACTAGATTTAAGCCGAAAGGACATCTAGTGGCTGATGTGCATAGAAGTGAAAGGGAAGTCCAGTACTGTACTGCACCGAACATGCAGCTGGAAGATGGAATGTGAAAAATTGGAATCAAGGTAAACAGGAAACCGTAAAGTAAGAAATGGAATGTATCATCAATCCAAATGGAGACGGCAGCCAAGAAATCAGGAGAAGACTGAGACTCGGAAGGGCAGCAACAAAGAAACTAGAAAAGATCATCAAGTGTAAGGATTTGTGGCTAGAGACCTGTGTATCAAGTGTAAGGATTTGTGGCTAGAGACCAAGACTAAGGACATCCAGACTTGCCTTTCCAATCACCCTGTACAGATGTGAAAGATGGACAGTTAAGAAAGCTGCGAGAGAGAAAAATGATTTGTTCGAAATGTGGGGCTGGAGGAGAGCTTTGCACATACCCTGGATGGCCAGAAAGACGAACCAGTGGGACCTAGATCAGATCAAGCCTGAGCTCTCTTTGGAGGCAAAAATGTTGAAACCGAGGCTGTCCTCCTTTGGACACCTCCTGAGAAGGCAGGATTCTTTGAAAAAGACAGTAATGCTAGGAAAAGCTGAAGGGAGCAGGAAAAGAAAAAGACCCAATACGAGGTGGACAGACGCCCTAAAGGAAGCCACAGCCTTGAGTCTACAAGAGCTGGGCCATTGAGGACAGGGCATTTGGCGGTCACTCATCCATAGGGTCACCCTAAGTTGTAGGTGACTTCATGGCACAACAGAACCACAGAAACATCTCTATATAACTCATGGTGAGAGTAGAGCAGGCAGGCATACTGAACTGCCTAATTTTGCATCCCACCCCTGGCATGTAAGCCCCCCTTAGAGCACAAAGGTGTTTTCTTCAATGGTGTAAAGTGCCAGGTATATGAAGGGGAGTCCAACATCTGCTCCCCGCCATCTTTTTCCCCCCTCTAGGTATCCCATCATCCTCTCCATCGAAGACCACTGCAGCGTCGTCCAGCAAAGGAACATGGCCTCGCACTTCAAGAAGGTCTTTGGAGACATGCTGCTTACCAAGCCGGTGGACATCAATGCTGACCAGCTGCCCTCCCCAGCCCAACTCAAGAAGAAAATCCTCATCAAGGTAAGTGTGTGTGTGCGTGTGTGCGTGTGTGTGTGTGTGTGTGTGTGTGTGCTCACCTTCCCACTGAGGCCTTTCCCTTACCCACATCAAGTGAAGTGGCGTTTACACCCCGTTCAGCCCATGTGGTTCCCTTGGCTTTTCTTCAAGCCCCCTCCTCCTTTCGGCAAGCTTTCCCCCATCCCACCTTTGTGGCCACGTACGTACATCACATATATTGTTCCTTTAGAGGCAGGTTAGTTCCTGCCACTGGTGGTTCTTGACAGGCTCCCCCCCCATCCCTTTTTTTTTAAATTCTCATTTAAAGTCTGTCCTCCCACAAGGATCTGGAAGCAGGATTTCGACCTGACAGAAATCCCAGGAGGGAGATCAGAGTAAGGGAGGGTCTCCAGAACTCACCCAGCCATGGTCCTCTGAGTTGATTTTCCTTCATGGTTTCCCACCCTTACTCCTGCTTACTCTGCCGCATCGGCCCAGGGGTCTTCCCTCTCTGGCTGCATCTTGGGCGTCTCAGGGATGACAGCCTGGCCCACAGGCAACAATTGCATGTTTACCTAGTCCTGGGTCCTTTAGCTAGCTCTCTCTGTGTGTGTTTTAAGGAATTTCATAAAAACAAAGCAGAGAACCCAACCCAGATCTGCATAAACAGCTCACAGATTTACAGTTGTGTCCATACATGTTTAATGTGAAAATAGTTTGAACGTCTGACGGCCATATCCTGCACCGTGTTTGTTGGGGAAAGCAAGAGATCAACTCAAACCAAGTTCATCTTAAAACCAGTTGGTTTCTATCGTACCTTGTTGTAATTAAGGTTAGCTTTGTTTGAGTTGATCTCCTGCCTTCCCGGACGAAGATGGCGCCGGATAGAGCCGTCAAAAGATTGGATGGTTTTAACCCTAATCTTGTGCGGACGCGATGGGTGACCTGTGTGGTGCTTATGCGGAATTTTCGTTGTGAAAGATGGAGATCTCTAAAACCTAGATCTGCTCAAGAAGGCTGAGGGTCAGAGTTGGCCGGCCGGGCTGCATTCCTCTTAAAAAAAAATTTCCCGTGTTTTCCTCTTCGCTTCCGCTCACAGCACAAGAAGCTGGTTGAAGGGAACCTTTATGAAGAAGTCTCCCTGGCCAGTTACTCTGAAAATGACATCAGCAATTCTCTCAAGAACGGCATCCTGTACCTGGAGGATCCCATTGACCACGTGAGGTTTTCCTTTCAGACCTTTGGCTTGTGTGCGTGCTTGTTTGTGTTTAAGACTCTTAAGGCTTAGATCGGTGGTTCCCAGTATTGAGTCACCCCCGATGTTCTTGCAGGGCAACTGTCAGAAACCCCCCAGGGCAGCACAGCGGGGGGGTCAAGGCTTCTGGGAATTGCAGTCTGAGAACAACCTCGGGGGTGGCCCATGGTTGGGAACCCCTGGCTTAGATGGACCGTGTGGGCAGGAGAGATGCCCATCATCCCCCCCCCCAGGACGGTTGGTCTGACCTTTGACTTGTAAATGACATCCAGGAGATAATCTGAGGCTGGAAGGGTGCCAGAGCAAGGAAGGGAACCCCTTTGTTAACGCCAGGCCTTTGACTCTTGACTCTTGAAAAGCAAACACTGGATACCTCTGTTGTTGGAGAAACTGGGTTGGCGCGAAGAGGGTGGAGCACAATGTCTCTCCGTACGTAGCTACCATAAGGGTGGGATCCCTGAACCTTATGGGACGGGGATCAACCCGATGTCTGGATTTTTTTGGGGGGAAATGGCTATCAGAGTGTAGGTTTCCATGGATGTTTCACGATTTGGATTCCTGCCTTGAGCAGGGGGTTGGACTCGATGGCCTTAGAGGCCCCCTGCCAATTTCACGATTCTAGGGTTCTATGATCTGCCGGTCCTAAGAGCCCCGGGCCTGGAATGAACTGAAAAGCAGGAGGTGATTAGAGATGGAAAATAGGGCAAAGTTTTGAGGGGGAGGCTCAGCTCAGCTTGTCTGGAGTGCTTGCTTAGTCCAGAAATGATGGAGTTTCTTCATATCGGGGGTGGGAGGAATATCACCCTCCTGCGCCATCCAGTCAGTTCTGACTCCTGATGACTCTTTCCAAAGTTTCCCAACTCGCGAACACTCAGAAGGACATTCCCTTCTTCAGGGGAGGCCCTGGGACTGCCATGCATCTGGCCCAAGCCAACCCAGGCTGGCTCTTCTCCCCTGGAGATGCACAGCGGGGGAAATCGAACTCCCAGCCTCGGGCTCTGCAGCCAGGGACCTGAACCCCTAAGCGATCCAGACAGCTGGAAAGTCTATAGGCAGGAAAGCAGACCCGGTGGGGACGCGGTCTCTCTCTTTCCAGCTGTCCCCTGTCCTTTAGAAGCTAGCCAGCTGAGCAAGACCTTTTGTGGTTGAATCCAGAGCTTCTGCCCTCTCTTTTTCTAGCGATTGGCATTTCCGCATGCCTTGTCTGCCATGGAAACCTCTTGTCCTTCTGCCCCTCCATTTGTGTTGACCCTTTTCTTCTCCCTCCTCTGGCAGACGTGGAGCCCGCACTATTTTGTTCTGACAAGCAACAAGATCTATTACTCCGAGGAGACCTCCCGCTATCAATCCAACGAGGATGAGGAAGAGACCGAACAGAAAGAGGTGCACCTCTTTTCCTGAGGGGTGGGAAGAGGGTTGCGGGGCGAGGTGGGGAGGAGGGAGACTCCTTGCCTTGCTGGAATCTTGCCGGTGGGGGAGCCAAGGATTTTGCTACTCGTGCTTATTTGTATTGGGGGGGGGAGAAGTCTTCCTTGTGCAAAGGGAGGTTGCAGAGATTTTGAGATGAAATCCAACTAGGCTGCACGCAGTCTTGAGCGGTCCTGGGGAAAAAAGAGGCAGACGTTGAAATGAGACGCGTAAGCTGTGGGAACGGTCCTGAAGTTTTTTGGGGAAAGAAGAAAAGTTGTAAGAAACGATGGCCGGTTGCATCCTAAAGTATCTCTTCTGGGTTTCTGTCCCCCCCCCTTCTTGGTGAGGTTTTAGGAGTTGAACAACAATGAGCTGCATTTCAGTGAGAAGTGGTTCCACGGCAAGCTGGGCGGAGGCCGTGACGGACGCCAGATTGCGGAGAAGCTGCTGCTCGAGTACTGCACGGAGACCGGGGGCAAAGACGGCACGTTCCTGGTGCGGGAGAGCGAGACCTTTGTGGGCGACTACACCCTCTCCTTTTGGTAGGCCACTCGGGAGGGGAAACGTGCCTCTTTCCTGAACCATCAGACAGTCCCAGCCGAGGGACCCGTGGGATTCTGGGCTGCTTTTTAGTGTCCATACACGGGCGAGCACGCTTGTTGTTGTTTAGTCGTTTAGTCGTGTCCAACTCTTCATGACCCCCATGGACCAGAGCACGCCAGGCCCTCCTGTCTTCTACTGCCTCCTGGAGTTGGGTCAAATTCATGTTGATAGCTTTGATGACCCTGTTCAGCCATCTCATCCTCGGTCATCCCCTTCTCCTCTTGCCTTCACACTTTCCCAACATCAGGGTCTTCTCCAGGGAGTCTTCTCTTCTCATGAGACGGCCAAAGTATTGGAGCCTCAGCTTCAGGATCTGTCCTTCCAGTGAGCACCCTGGGTTGATTTCCTTCAAAATGGTTAGGTTTGTTCTCCTTGCAGTCCAGGGGACTCTCAAGAGCCTCTTCCAGCACCACAGTTCAAAGGCATCAATTCTTGGGCGGTCAGCCTTCTTTATGACCCAGCTGTAACTTCCATACATCACAACAGGAAAAACCATAGCTCTGACTATTTGGACTTTTGTTGGCAAGGTGATGTCTCTGCTTTTTAAGATGCTTTCTAGATTTGTCATCGCTTTCCTCCCAAGAAGCAGGCGTCTTTTAATTTCGTGGCTGCTGTCCCCATCTGCAGTGATCATAGAGCTCAAGAGCATGCTTGAGAGACCCTTGAAACAAGGGCTGTACATTAAACCGAGGAAATAAGAAATAAAATTAAGCTCAGACATCCTCTGTGGGGAGCTCTTGATCTTTAAAAGAACCCAAGTATAAGCAAGCAGAGAACACCCATGGCTCTGTGGAACCGGGACTATTGTCAGGCAGAACGTCCTTGTTTGATGTAAAAGGGCCACTTGCAAATATTCTGCATCCCCTAGAAAGGGTCACTTGACTGGCAGGAAGATTTCCCCCTTGTTAAAGGGTCGAGCATCACGGTTTCCACAGGATCCGGTGGCTGGCAACCATTTTAGCTTGAGAGGATCTTGAGCCTGGGTGCGTTTTTAAATACATTAGCACTTCCTACTAAGGAAGAGAGGAGAATTTTGTCTGAAATCCAGTAAAGCTTGGGAGCAAGCGATGGGGCAAATGGGCTCACCCCATGTGACAAGTTTTCATGTGGTTGAGGTGTGCCTTTATGTGTCTTTATTTGCAGCCAAGGACGACTGAGGATATACAGTGGTGCCTCGCTTGACGGTGTTAATTCGTCCAAGCGAAATCGCTGTAGAGCGAAAACGTTGTCAAACGAAATTAAAAAAAACCCATTGGGCTGAATACCTTCTCGTCCAGCAAAGATCCTCCATACAGCGGCCATTTTCTGGTGCCTGTTAAGCGAAAAATCAGTCCTGAAAACAACGGGCCATTTTCTTCAGCCGGTGGCCATTTTGAAACCCAACAATCAGCTGTTTGCTGATCATTGTAAAGCGAAAATCGGTTCCCGAAGCAGGGAACCAATCATCGCACAGCGAAAAAAACCCATTTAAACCATCATTTAAACTTCAACGTTAAGCAGATTCGTCGTAAAGTGGGTAATCGTCCAGCGGGGCACAACTGTATAATAAAAACCAGGTTGATGAGGGATTGGTTAAATTTATGCAAAACACTGAAGGGGGGGATCCTTTAGATTAGCAAATAGCTAGATCTAGGGTTTTGTGCGTAAAATCCTCTTCAACCTGCCGTCTTAATAGACCACTGGTTCTTAACCTTGGGTTACTCAGGGGTTTTGGACTGCAACTCCCAGAAGCCTTCACCACCAACTGTGCTGGCTGGGGTTTCTGGGAGTTGCAGTTCAAAAACATCCGAGTAACAAAGGTTAAGAACCATTGTAATAGACAAAAGGGTCAGTAATCAGTTGGTGGACACGGAGGCTAAATGGAGTTGTGTATCATTTCCTTCCCAAGCGATCAGGAAGAGATGAATGAGGGAAATGGAGAAAGCTTTGTCTCACTGCGTTGTCAGCTTATTTTCCTGTACTGTATTTATTGTGCGTGCTGGAATTGGCCAGCAGGCCAGAATTCTGGACCACCAACGCAGGCAGAATCCAGCCGTTGGCGCTGGTCCCGAACAGTCAGCGCAGAGCCCCTTGCTTCTCCAGGCCACGGGGAGTCATCTTGTAAGCCGCCCAGAGTAGTTCTGTGGCCCTAAGGGGAGTGGAGCACACACTGAATAAATAAATAATTAGTAAAATAAATAATTTTCTCAAAATTGTTGGAAACAAGAAAGTATGTGTCTTCCTGCCTCAGTAGCAATCTCATTAGGGGTTTATTTATTTAAAATGTCTTTACCTCGCCTTTTCCCTTAAAAAGAACTCAAGGTGGCTTACATCATCAAAAGGCAGTATTTCAGCTCACCAGAGGGAGAATACCAATACTAGAAGGTAATGGTAAAGGTTCCCCTTGACAATTTTTTTTGTCCAGTCGTGTTCGACTCTAAGGGGCGGTGCTCATCCCCGTTTCCAAGCCATAGAGCCAGCGTTTGTCCGAAGACAATCTTCCGTGGTCACATGGCCAGTGCGACTTAGACACGGAACGCTGTGACCTTCCCACCAAAGTGGTCCCTATTTATCTCCTTGCATTTGCATGCTTTCGAACCGCTAGGTTGGCGAGGAGCTGGGAAAGGCAACAGGGGCTCACTCCGTCATGTGGATTCGATCTTACGACTGCTGGTCTTCTGACCCTGCAGCACACAAAGGCTTCTGCGGTTTAGCCCACAGCGCCACCACGTCCTTCTCCCCCAATACTAGAAAGGATCAAACAAATGTCACACTAGAAAGCATAAGCAACGCCCAAACACATGGAGAGCAATAAAATATTGCCATCCATGTAGAAACCTCTTTCAGACAGTTCATCACTAAGGAAAAGCATGACTAAAGAGAAAGGTCTCTGCCTGCCTTTAGAAGGACAGCCAAGATGGGGCCGAGCTGGCTTCCAGTGGCAGGGAGTTCCAGAGTCTCTGAGAGCAGCCCCAGAGAAGGCCCTCCTCTCCTGCGTCCCCCACCAAAGACACATCTGTGAGAGAAAGCCCCCCCCCGGATACTCTTAACACCTGAACAAGCTCCTCAAAGGAGATGCCATCCAGACCCCCCCCCCAGAAGCACTAATGTCCTCGTTAGCAAACCCAAGAAAGTGGCATCCATGAGAGTAGGGGGTGCAAACCAAAGCCTATAGGGTGGGGCGGAAGGTTTCCCCACGGCTGTCCTTGGGATGAGTGGACAACCCTCTGCCGCCCTCCGAGCTCCCCTCGACCTTTCTCCGCAGGCGCTCCGGCCGCGTCCAGCATTGCCGCATCCATTCCCGGCAAGAGGCTGGCACCACCAAGTTCTACCTGACGGACAACCTGGTCTTCGACAGCCTCTACAGCCTCATCTGCCACTACCGGGAGGTGCCGCTGCGCTGCAACGAGTTCGAGATGCGTCTGACGGACCCGGTGCCCCAGCCCAACGCCCACGAGAGCAAGGAGTGAGAATCGCAGACCGCCCTGCCTCCTCTGGAGAGGCGTCCAAGCCTCCTCCTCCTTGGTGTCCGAGTCTGGTGGAGGTTGAGGAGGGGGGAAAACGGATGGCCATGAATGTCCCCCCAGGGCTGTGCCAAACCGGGGGTTCCCTCGGGTTCAGGGAAGCGGGGGCGACGGGGAAGGGAGAGGCCTGGACTTCATGCTGTCAGGCATGGGCTGAAGCTGAGCTTAGACCTTAGCTTGTATAAGCTCTTGCTCCAAAAGAGGTTTGGCTTTTAAATAGCATCCCTCCATTTTTAAAAAAAGAAACGCGCAGCGGAGGATGCGCAAAAGGGTCACCCAGAGGTGCCCACCAAGTGGCCTTCGCGATCTGGACCCTTGTTGAGGGTGTGCATGGTGTGTGTTTGTGTAGAACGGGAGAGTGCGCCGGGTTACGAGGGCCTCCTTCCCCCAGACTCCTCCCCGAGCGGCTCCCCAGGAGGGAGCGAACCCCTCAGGGGTCTCCCGCCGTCTCTCACCGCCTCTCCTCTGCCCACCAGGTGGTACCACGCCGACCTGACCCGGCTGCAGGCGGAGCACATGCTCATGAGGGTGCCCCGCGACGGAGCCTTCCTGGTGCGCAAGCGCAGCGAGCCCAACTCCTACGCCATCTCTTTCCGGTGAGTCGGGGGCAGCGTTTGCTCGGCCCCTTGCCCCGCCTGGGCAGGTGGGCAGCCTGTGGGGCTGGAAGGTGGCCAGAAAGGGAAGGGCTAAAAACATCCCATCCCGCCAGCCCTTCTCTGGCCCAAACGGTTCCCCTCCCCACGCAAACCCTTTGCAGCGGTGGTGAGTTTCCCCCCCCACCAAAAAAAGGGCAGTATGGACAAGAATGGTCAATCAGTAAAATAATAAAATTAAAGCAAAGTGCTGAATTTGAGAGGCAGCTCACGGGCCCATGAGAACAAGGAGCGAGACGCCCCACCTTCCCTTCCCCTTAAACTATCCTAGCCTTGAAGGCGCCGCTTGTCTTTGTCCCGTTTTGTCTTGTTCCTTTGGACTTTGCACGGACAAACGCGGCTGCCTCTTCGAAAATGGCACCTTTCAAAGAGGAGTCACGGAGGTTGTGTTACATCCGCTCGTGTTTTGCACGTCCTTCGATGCACAGAAAATCATGATCTCACAGTTCTGGAGACTGGTTTGGAAAAGGAATTTCCGCGGGGGAGGTGTAGGTTTTGACAATGCCTTTAAGATTTGGGGAGAATGAAAAAGAAAGCCTTTCCCTCTGAATGCCCTTCGCCCTGTTGTCCCCCTTTGGCCGGTGGTGTCTGGACCAGGAGTGGATGGCCGTGCTGAGCCGTGCCCCACGCACACGAGAGGGACCGCCATTGGCACCGTTGGGGGTATCCCCATTGGGGTCTTGATCTTGATGCTCGCTGGCCCTTTTGGCTCAACACCATCACTCTCCTTCTCTAGCTCCATGCTTGCGGGGGGCTCTGCCTCTCTGAGCTGGTTTTCCAGGCTGTGTTTTGGGCTGCAGGGCCGAGGGCAAGATCAAGCACTGCCGGATCCAGCAGGAAGGGCGGCTCTTCATGCTGGGCAGCTCGGCGGAGTTCGAGAGCCTCCTGGACTTGGTCAGTTACTATGAGAAGCACCCGCTCTACCGCAAGATGAAGCTGCGCTACCCCATCAACGAGGAGACCCTGGAAAAGATGGGGACGGCGGTGAGTGGTGGCCGCCGGGCCAGATCCTGGAGGGCCAAAGAGGGCCCAAGGGTTTGGGAAGAGGGGGGCAGACAGATCCAGAGCTTAGTCTGATGGCCACCAAGAATCTCCCCCCCCCCAAAAAAAAGGAGCCATGCCACGTTCTAGAAGGAGATCAAGAGTCATGGTGATCCGGGGCTGGATTCCATGAATGTCTTGCATTTTTTACCTCTTTTATTGCCTCTCTCTAAAAATCCTGGCCAAATAGATAAACAGCATTGCCTGAGTTTTTGCAACCACGGGAACCTTTCCAACGGGGATCAGGGCCCACCGGCAGTTCTGAGAGAGCAGGATGAGGAAGGCATGCCCGGAATCGGAAGCCTGGGGCCCAGAGCCGACTGAGCTTCCGCGGAGCTGAAAGTTGTGCCGAGGAACGTGTCACGCAGAATGACACGGTTCTCGGGAGCCTTTGCTTTTGAAAATGGCGAACGCCAGGAAGAAGGCTCACCCTTGCTTTGCCCAACCGCAGCCCTCGCACGAGCAGGCACAATCTCGTGTCTCACACAGGTGGAGGGACTTTCCCCCCAGCAGAAATAAACTCAGCAAGATCCTGGTCCTAGGTCAGAATGGGTAGAGAGTTAACGGTGTTAAGCTGATTGCGCAGAGTCTCCTCCAGGGAAAAGGGCTACCGAAAAATCTCCTAGATTTTGTGTCTCTCCACGAACACATTTTTTTTCCGTCCTGGTGAGCCTGCCCATTTCCTGGCACCGTTGCCTATTCTGCCTTCCTTCCTTCCTTGCTCGCTTCCCAAAGGGGTGCTCATCGGGGCAAGGCCCTGATTCTCCCTATGGGGCTGCGCTCTCTAAAAGACCGAGCCTGGGGGAAATGCTGTGGGAATACTTGTGACGGATAAGGGCTCAGGATGTCGTTTTGCACGCCTGCCTAGTGTTTTCTCTTCTAACACGGTAGTCCCAAGAGGGTTACACCATGTGTACAAAGGAGGGAGACCTGTCGTTTTGGGGCCCACCCCGTCTCCTGCTCTCCGAGTCCAGAGACCGTCCCCCTGCCCGACGGGGTCCTCTTTCGTACCCCTGGCATCCCCTGGCCAGCAGGAGGAAGTGGAGGGAAGGAAGGGGCCGTGGGGCGTGTGTTTGGTGGCAGTCACGGCAGTGTGTCGCCTTCACGTGGAAGGCAGCAGCTTTCCCTTCAGACTCAACGCGTGAGATGCGATGCTCTTCTCCCATTTCCTTGCAGGAATTGGACTACGGGGCGTTATACGAGGTGCGGACCCCTCATTTCTACGTGGAAGCCAACAAGATGCCGATGGCCCGGGTAAGCAAGAAAGGACCCTGGAGGTTCATTTACTTCTGTGCTTATTTCCTGCTCTCTCAGTACAGTGGTGCCTCACATTGCGACATTAATTCGTTCCAGCAACCCGTTTAATACATTCCAAAGGGCTGTAAACTCACCGTCTAGCGAAGATCCTCCATAGGGCAGCCATTTTCGCTGCCTGTGCAGCGAGGAATCCGTCCCAGAAAACAGTGGGGCGCCATTTTGAAACCGCCGATCAGCCGTTGGAAAATTGTCGTTTTGCAAAGAATCTGTTCCCAAAGCAGGGAACCGATCATCGCAAAGCAAAATTCCCCCATAGGAAATATCGTATTGAGATCGCAAAAGCAATCACAAAAAGTTTGTTGTAGTGCGGTTTCGTCGTTAAATGGGGCAATTGTAAAGCGAGCCACCACTGTATCTCGATTAAACAGTAATTAAGGAAGTACAGCAGCACAGGTTGTATTTCACTTCATGAAGCTTAGCTTAACAAAGAGAAGACTGAGGGGAGACAGGATAGCCGTCTTCCGAGATCTGAAGTGTTGCCCCAGGGAAGAAGAGGGCATCGATTGATTGCGCCTGGGCGTAGGACGAGAACCCATGGGTGGAAACTTCTCCAAGGGAGATCCAGCCTGGAAATAAGGAGGGATTTCGTGACAGTGAGAACCAAGAAGCAGTGGAACAGCTCGCCTCCCGATGTGGTGGGTGCCCTATGGCTGGAGGTTTTCAAGAAAAGATGGGACAGCTATCCGTCCGAGATGGGAGGAGGTCTCCTGCCTTGGGCAGGGGGTTGGACTAGAAGACCTCCCAGGTCCCTTCCAACCCTATGATGATTCTATGATTCTGTGACAGGTAAAATAATCTAAATAGAAAGAGCCATTTGCCATGTTTTTCTGTTTGAACAGCCATGAGGCAGCGTTTCCCAGCGATTCCACTTCTGTCAGCCAGAACGTTTTAAAAAAACACTGTTCTCATATTAAGCATTCCACCCACACCCTAATCCTTATGGGTCTTGTGAGATAATAATTTTAGTTTAACATGAGGGCGATCACAGACCTCTGCTCTAGACGTATATTATGACTGAAAAAGTGCGTGTCATGCATGCCGGAGAAGCAAGGGGAGAGAAGACAGGCCAATAAGGCGTCCTCTTCGCTACTTCACTTTTGGGTTCCTGTTTTTGGTTTTTGGTTTTTTTTTCCTCCTCTACAGTCGTAAAGTGAAAATTTACTTGGAAATAAACTGAAGTAGCTTCTGTTCATTACTTTATGAGAGTTTTCTACATTGATCTCCTGCCTTTTTTTTCCCCGTCCCTGCTTGACCCTCATAACAGCCCTGTGAGGTAGGACAGACCATGACTGGCCCAAGATGGCCAGGTGGGAATGAGAGCCCGAGCCTTCCGGCTCCTCATGCAGGATTCTTACTACTAAGCCACACTGACACTCATTTCTGCTCTGAGTGTGGGAAAATAAAAAATAAAACTAGGGATTCATCTGTTTTTAAAATCAAATCAGCATTTATATGTTTCAAGGATTAACCAAGACCCGAGACCCAAATATTCTTCCTGAACCTTAGCCCAGATGTGTGCGAAAGTAGTTATTTCCCTTTAGATCTCTGAATGTTTGGCCCCTGTATTTTCTGGAAAAGGCAGACAGATTCACTGCTTTCACGACAGGAAACCTGACCCCTTACGGGTTGAGAGAGAGAGAGGTTGACCAGACGGATTCTCTGATCAGGGGCTTCCCTGCAGTGGGGTGCCATGGGGAGATTTTTGCAGGCTCTCCCCCCTCCAGGACGTCGGCTGGGCTCACCTGTAATCGAGACGAGGGGGTTCCCCAACCCTAGATGTCCCGTGACTTTCCTTCAGAAACAAACTTTCTGAATTCTGTTCACACCCGGATCCTGGAAACAAGGAAAGCCTCCGGCAGAACCATCGAAAGATCGGGCGGGGTTCCGCCTGCACTCCTTTCGTTCTCCCTGTGCACAGGCCGTGGGTTCTCCGGGCGCTTTAATTTCCTCAGTTTTATTTTCTTTATGTAAACCTGAGAGGCAACCTGTTGCTTTTTTTCCCCGTAGTGCACGGTGAAAGCCTTGTACGACTACAAAGCCCAGCGGGAAGACGAGCTGTCCTTCTGCAAACAAGCCATCATTCACAACGTCGACAAGCAGGACGGGGGCTGGTGAGTCTTCCGGGACTCCGGGGGCAGCTGGTGTGGGGCGGCCCCCCCCCCCCCCCCGTTAGACAGCAGCAGGCGCTCTCGGGAGCCATGCCCGTCTTCGTTTCGTATTTGTCATGGGTGTCTCCTTTACAAGTTGGATAGGGAAAGGGGCTCTGCATTTTTCGAGACCTGCTCAGAAAGACCAGAGGAGAAGAGAATACTTCGTTTAGAGCCGTCGGGTTGATCTCCTCTTACCTTTTCCTATTGCGTAATAGAGAGGAAAATTGGCATTAAGTGGCATTTAAGAGCTCATTCTTCATGGATGCAGTTCTGAGCAAGAAACCATCAGAGGCGGAAGCAGCCAAAGGGAAGGAAG